CACTCACAGTTAACCAGTAACCTGCCCAGGTAGTTGGGGATCCTTCTGCGGTTGATACACTAATTTACAGGGTGCATCCATGGAGCCATATGTCCTTTGTGACCACCCGGAGTGTGGGGCCACGCCCATGCTCGTCACCTGGCTCTTTGATCCCAGGCAGGTGACTTCTCCTTGTTGAGACATGCCAGAGTCTACACTGGGGTTCCCAGTGCAGCTTGCAGGTTATGCTGTACAAGGGTTGTCAGCTTCTTTATTTAGCCATGAACCAGTTCTTTCAACAAGATCAGACACTAAAGTCCAATAGATATTTAAAACAATGACGTCTAGAATTACCTGGCAGGAAGCAGAAACAAATGATTGATCCCTAGGCTGGTCAACTTCCATCCCACTGAAACCAAACCCTCTCTCACACAGATACTCACACATACACACATACACACTCACACACACACTCACACACATACACATACATACACCCACACGTACACAGGAACACACACACTCACACACATACACCTACATACACCCACACGTACACAGGAACACACACACTCACACACATACACATACATACACCCACACGTACACAGGAACACACACATACACACATACATACACTCTCACATACACACATACATATACCCACACATACACATGAACACACACACACACACAAATACACACACACACATACACACACACACACACACACACACACACACACACATACACACACACACACACACACACACACACACACACACACACACACACCACTGAGGGACTTTGAAGAAGCTCCAGCACTCTAATCCAGGGCAATTGGAAAGCTACTGATAGTCTTACCGATAAATTCATGTTACAGACAAGAAAACTGTCCCAGGTCTTTCCTGTCCTCCTGTCACAGGACGACACAGGTGGCCCCCACATATTTGAAATGGCTAGCCTGAGCAGAGGCTAGCCTGAGCAGAGGCTAGCCTAAGCAGGGGCTAGTCTGAGCCGGGGCATGCTCTAAAGTTGGAAAGGTACAGAGGATTTAAAGGGGAGTTACAAAATCAACAGGAATCTAAACTGTCATTGATACTTTTTTTTAACTGAAGACATTTTAGTCTATATTTGTCTATTTATTTATGCAGATCTGTGAGTGCATGTATATCACAGTGTGCATGGGGAGTGGAGGTCAGAGGACAAGTTGGGAAAGTTGGTTTTCATCTTCCACCATGTGCGTTCTAGGGATCAAACTCAGGTCACTAGGCTTGACACTTGGACCCACTGGCTATTGCATTGCCCTAGAGGTTTACTAAGGAATGTAGGGCCTGGAGAGGTGCTCAGCGGTCGAGAGCACTGGCTGCTCTTTCAGAGGACCTGGGTTTGAGTCCCAGCATTCACATGGCAGCTCACCCATCTGCAACTTTATTTCCAAGGGACCTCTGTGGGCACCAGGCACACACATGGCACAGAATTACATGCAAGCTAAACCCTCGGATGAGCAAAATAAATATTAAAAAAACAAATGTACTTAAAATGAATCTCTCTTGCTTTCTTAATAGGATCACTAGACAATTCAAAATGACCTAAGTGACTCTCATTCACATTGTCCAGTGATTCTATGGGACGCCTTATAAATGCCTTCTCCAGAGGTTCCTGGATTGGTGGTGGTGGGTCCGGATTCATGGCTCCTAACTCTGCAGACTTCACCCCTCCATTCTCTATTGCTGGAGTACATGACCCACTGCTCCCAGTAACATCCCCAGACAGCTTCATTGAAGAGAATGGGATAGGTGGGTTATGATTTCTTTGGTGTATAGGAAGGGCTTGCATCTAGACCCTGACTTGATTTCCCTCTCTGTCTTAGATGCCAATTATCTGTAAAGTGAGGGCATATGTTTACAGACATCCAAAGCTCTGTTCAAGCTCTGGAATTTGGCGCCTTTGAACTTTTTTTTCATAGTCACCTCTGCTCTTCTTCTCTGCTCGCGACCACTGTTGGCTTGTGTTTAGTTCAGGCTAGCGTTGACCTCACCACTCTGCTGCCTCCTCCGGAGTGGGTTTCCTGGTGTGAGCTACACGGCAGTCGCTCCCCAATTTCTTTGACTGTGATATTCTCGCATCTATGTTTCCCTTCCTCCAAGTTACCTCCTCCTCCCAGCCAATTTCCGCAAGCCGAAGTTCCTCTGGGAAGAGAAGAGGCCTTCCTAGACGAGGCAGAATTGCTCTCCTTCCCCCTTGCTTCCCAAAGGCCAAGACAGAATAGCTACCTGCTTTCCTCTCTAACCCAGTCAAGGTGGGCGTGAGGAGAGGCGGGAGGGCAGGTGCATGGCTAGAATGGGAAGAATAAGGCAGCAGACCCAGGAAGGGAATGAGACTTAGAAACTCCTTCTCGAAGAGATGCTTAGTGTTCTAACTGAACTGTAAAGTCATAGAAAGCAGAACCAGGCCTGCCCTGGAGAGACAGGAAAGGACTGTCACATGCAGGACCAAGCACACTACCCAGCAGCAGAGAAATGGGAAGCAGCCACCCTGACATTGGTTTATGGCCCCTGCTTTTTATTCATGACACACTTATAAAAGCTGTAGTATAGAGGTAGATGAAACACATGCCCAGACTGAGAGAAGCAAACCTTTACTAAACTTTCTACCCTCCTCCCCTGCTTGTAGGAAGCGGAAACACCCAAACATTGTTTGAAATCAGGGAGTTACCAGCTTCACAACTGAGTTCCCTGGCAGAAGGCCAGGCACACACACCGTCAGCGCGTGGGAGCAAGCAGGGTTCTTGGGGTTGTGTCGGAAGTTCCAGAGTTGATGAGGCTGTTACAGCTGGATTCAGCTGGTACCTAAGGGTTTAGGATCTAATTATTTCTTCCTTTCTCTTTTATTTTTCAAGACTGAGTCTCTCTGTGTAGCCCTGGTTGTCCTGGAACTCGCTCTGTAGACCAGGCTGGCCTCGAACTCACAAAGATCTTCCTGCCTCTGCTTCCAAGTGTGGGATTAAAGGTGTGCACCACCACACCCATAACTGTTTCTTTACAGTGTACTTTACCTTGGTATTGATGCACTGCCAAGCCCATGGCAGTGGTCTGTTCTCTTGATGTTTTTTTTTCTGTTTGGTATTTTTGTCTCTGATGCAGTAATGACACTAGAAGCTTCTCTTGGGCCACATTTGACAGGGCTTAGGTCAGAGTAACGTGAGGAGTGTTCTGAGAGGCTGGCCTGTGGCACTTACTGTGTGCATTTGAAAGGCAGCTTGAACCCAGAGTCTCTTGCCATTGGAGGACCTCCTACAGTGGATGTTCTAGCGAAGGCTGGCACCAAAGACACTGGAGGCTCCTGTGACTGTTTCCTGCTGGGGGCCTTCTGGAGACCCATGCTTCCCCTGGGACTTGTGGTCCTGTCTCTCTTCCCCATCCAGTTTCTTCCTCGGTGGCCATAGCCTCTGCAGACCCTGGTGTGTCTCTTGAGAACAGTGTCGGGAGGTCTGTGCATCATGCCTGGAAGAACAGCCAATGACCCTTCCCCCAACCCAACTTTAGGGTGGCTGCAGTATCACCAAGTGTCACTGTCCTCTCTGGCTGCCCAAATGAAGCACCATACTCCAGTGGCTCACACCAGAACTTAGACCTGATTCCTCAGGGTTCTGCAGGTTGTAAATCTGAGTGCCAGATGCCGGCAAGCTGGTTTCTTTGGCAACCCCTCTGCTTGGCTTGCGGGTGGCAGCTACACCCTGTACCTCTGCGTGGTCTCCTTTCCTGTTACGTCTTCTCTTGTAGGGACTCCAGTCATATTGCATGAGGGCCACCTTGTACTATTTCTTGAATCAGCCTGAGCCTGTGGCATTGTGGGGTCAGATTTCAACATGGGAATCAATGGAGCCCAGAGCACTGACTCAGGAGGCTGAGATCTTACTGTGTCCGCAGCCCTGTGCAATATCTGAATAATCCAGTGGTGCCATTCCACTCTCTGTCCTTACAAAGATACCCATTTCACTAGCCTTTCTGAGAGTCCTAGACTAGTCATCTCTAGGGCCTCAGTTCCTGGGTGTCGAGATGTTTTCTGGAACGTGCTCCTTGGGGACTCCAATGTTGACTAGCTGGTGTCCAATGTGCTGGAATTGCCTCCCCTGGCTATTCTTCCCAGTTCAGTTGAGGCAGACACTGAGGCCCAGAGAACCAGAAATGTCACCTGACCTAGTGATCTAACCCTTTAGTCTGGGTATCCCAGCAGGCAGACGTCCCCTGGGGGCACGTGTTTCCAAGGGTCCTGCAGTCAGCTGTCTCTGCATTAAATGGATACTGGAAATGGAAGGATGTCAGAGTGTGTCTGGCTTCCCATAACTCCTTCAAAGCAATTCCCTGGTGACGCCAGTGGAGAAGACAGGATCATGGGGTCTAGACAGGATCCCTTAGGTCTTTTTTTTCAAGAACCATTTAGTCACATCCCTCCTGAACCAGATCAACAGGGTCTCCTTTGCCCTGGGCCTTGGAAGTCAGCTCTGTTGTCCAGGATCCCGCTTCTGGGATTATTACATAAGCACAGCTCTTACAACTCTTGCCCAGAGATGGTGTTCCTGGGTGGTCCTTCTTGGGTGGGTCTCTGGGCATAGAAACCCCACGCCACATTTCCTCCTGGGCTTTGCAGAGCCAGGCAGATCCTGCCTCATACAGCTCAGCTCCAGCTTATTTGGGAGATTAAGATCAGAGATGCTGTGGAAGGGCCACGTTTTAACAAGGTAGAAAGCACAAGCTATTCAGAAGTCTCGCCTACTGTGCAGAACACCCCCCCACACACACACATACACACACCACACCCCGGCTCTAGGGACCTCTCCCATAAAGATGCTATCACGGGGTGAGGAAAGAGTCACCCCACTCCCAGCAGGCTTCTAGTCAGAAGAGCTTCACTTTCAATTACCGGCAGCAGCTGTGGAGGCCACTTATGTAACGGACTCCGCGCCTCCTCCTTGGGAGGTGGGGAGCCATTTGGTGTGTGCTAAATAATGAGTCATGGTCAGAGTGAGGGAGCAGAGAGCGGATTTCTCCTGTGAATTGCTTCATCTGAACCTCTAGTAAAGAGTGGTGAGTGAGTCAGAGCTGGCAGGGCTTGCCCAAGGCAGGGAAGCACGGCCATGGGGTGGGTCTGAAATGCAGGTCCCCTCAGGGATCCCCAAGGGCCGCTGAAGGAGGCTTTGGGGTGGGAAGCCCAGCTGGGTACTTGATGAGGAGACTCACGTTTGTTTTGAGCTGTGTCTGACCTGCCAAGGGCTCTGTGTCCTGAGAGCTTCGGGCCTTTGCCAGGCCTAGCCAGGGTCCAAGAGTGTGGGGGTGAAAAGAAAGACTTCAGAATGAACAGAATTAACCCTAGAAAGGTGAAGTGTGTCGGGGGGGAGGGGGTGCGGGACACAGTGATTTGTCTCCTTTCATGTTTCTGAGAAATCCAGTCAAAATATACAGTTTCTGGGCCAGCAAGATGGCTGCAGGTGAAGGCTCTGGCCCACAAGTCTGATGGCCTGTATTTAGTCCCAGAGGTTTGTCTCCTAGGCGAGTCTACAGCCTGTCCAGTAGATGATATTAACCATCATAGTGGAAGGAAAGCGTCAGCTCTGCCCTCCAGAGGCACACAGAGAGGCACACACACCCTACAACACACACAGGTAAATACATATAATTTAAAAAATTTATAAGTTCATGTCAGCAAATAATTTCTTGTGACTGCCCTCTCCCCACACCAGCAGGCTTTTCAACGTGGCATCAGGAAGCCAGAGCCTGTCCTCCCTCTTCATAGTAAGCCCCAGCTAAGCCCCTGTGAGTCTGGAGCGGTGTGCAGGGCCTCTTACGAAGCTGGTCAGATCTGTGCTCTGCTGTGGTGGATGTGGTGTGTTCAGACAACCGGCCTGATGAACAGTGTGGTAGGTAATATTATCAATGGGGCAAGTTGTGGAATCACCTGGGAGATAGCTCTGTGAGGGAGTTTCCGGACTGCGTTCATCGAGGAGGAAAGACCCACCTTAACTGGGCAGCCCCATCCAACTGACTAAAAAGAAGGCAAGAGCTGAGCACCAGCAGCGTTCATCTCTCTCAGCTTCCTGACTGCAGATGCACAGACTCTGACCAGCCGCCTCACCCTCCTTCTGCATGAACTCTGTCCTCCAACTGTGAGCTACAATGAGCTTTTAAGTCACCTTTGTCAACCATTCTGTCCCACACTGAGAAGTAACTAAGTAACAGGAAAGGTTTTATTCAGCATGCAAACCTCTGAGAGCTGAGCCCTCCCTCCTGGAAGCAGCAGAGCCAGAGGTCAAGGTCAAAGTGCCTGGTTAGAATCCCTGCTTGGCTGCTTACCCCAGCTCTGCTTCTGGGATACAGTTATTGCCTTTGTGTTTGTGGAGGTCCTCATCTGTGACGTGGGACACCGAGAGCCTCTCTATCACAGGGTAGTTTTGAAGACTGAGGAACACTTGCAAGGTATTTAGTGTTGGGGGTACCCTGTTATCATCACCATTATTTTATTTATTTATTTGTTTGTTTGTTTGTTTGTTTGTTTGTTTACTTTTGCTGGCCTGGATCTCACTCTGTAGACCAGGCTGGCCTCAAACTCAGCGATCCGTCTGCCTCTGCCTCCCAAGTGCTGGGATTAAAGGAGTGCGCCACCGCCGCCCAGCTCTCAGCACCATTACTTAATGCCAGCTTAATTTCCATCTCTAGTGACGTCTATCAAAACATACATTAGAACACACAAGCAGGTTTATGACCAATCAGGTAAGGCTTTTTTAGAACTAGCAAAAACTTTCCTCCTCACAGAGTGGGAGGCAGTATAACACTAATGTAGAGTGAGGACTTAACAAAACCAAGTTTGCTGAGCTCAGAAAGCAACCGTAAAGTAATGAGTGTCTGGACTTTAACTACCAACTCCGTGTGTTGAATCCGGTCACATGATTGTAGCTTAAAGTTTTCCTGTGTACTGGCCTGCCGGTGGTCGGGACAAATCTCTCCCACTCACGTACCCCAAGTAGCACACAGAAGCTTATATTAATTATAACTGCATGGCCATGGCTCAAGCCTTTTGCTAGCTAGCTCTATATCTTAAATTAGCCCATAACTATTAATCCATGTATCACCACATGTTCCTTGGCTTTACCTGCATCCCATTACATGTTGCTCCTTGGGCTGCTCACTGGTGGGCCCCCCCTTCTTCCTGTCTCTCTCTCTCTCTCTCTCTCTCTCTCTCTCTCTCTCTCTCTCTCTCTCTCTCTCTTTATTTCCTGCCTGCCTCTAAGCTGCTTTGCCATAGGCCAAACAGCTTTATTTATCAACCAATCAGAGCAACACATATTCACAGCGTACAGAAAGACATTCCCCCCGTCACATGAATTCTGGAGTTTCTTATCCCATGTGATCACAGCTATCCACCAGTGCTGATGGTGTCAACATGAGCAAGGAGTTAAATCCACAGATTCTAATTTGACACAAACTTCTCAAGCTGTTTATCCTGGTGTTGGAGAGGGAAAGGAAGGAGAAGAAACGGGGCTGTTCTTAGACTCTTCGTGGGTGGATCTTCCAGCTTCTGTTGTGACTGGATTCTGTTAACTGACCACAGAAGTAGAGGACACACTCCTCAGACTGGCCCTTCAGCCCTTTAGTGTAGCTGGAGAGTAGTTGGGTCCCACCAAGCCCCGGCAGTCCGACAGCCCACTTATAAAATAAACACACAGACGCTTGTATTATTTAAACTGTTTGGCTTAATGGCTCAGACTTCTTGCTATCTAGTTCTTACATCTTAAACTAATCCATTTTTATAAATCTATGCCTTGCCACATGGCTCGTGGCTTACCGGCATCTTCACATGCTGCTTGTCATGGCGGCGGCTGGCAGTGTGTCGCCCGTCGCCCCCCCCCCCCTCCCGCGCCTTCCTGTTCTCTCAATTCTCCTCTCTGTTAGTTCCACCAATACTTCCTGCCTGGCTACTGGCCAATCAGTGTTTTATTTATTGACCAATCAGAGCAACACATTTGACATACAGACCATCCCACAGCACTTTAGCTCTAGATGGATGTGATGTTTGCTATAGGAAGAGCTGGGGCAGCTGTGCACCTGACCTCATCGCCACCACCATAATCCTCACCCCACATAACATCCACATTTAGGGAATGCTCATTGTGCATTGGGCACAGTGCTCTGGGACTTTATCCATCTGCTCGTGTTTCATCTTACAATGATGTCATTGGTTTACTGTTGTCTCCCTCTGAAGGCTGAGAGAACCATGTCCACGACAGGCTTACAACCTGTTTGTGATCCCAAGCCTGTAATGCAGTGTAGTCTAGGACTCTGGTCTTGAGACACTGTCTGAGATACTGTCTGTCTTGTCACTGTTGCCGAGGGTGGGGGCCAGCTACTCTTCCTGCACTGCTCACATCTGCTGAGCTGCCATGGAGGACCTTCTGAGTTAGTGCCTGTGTCCAGGGAGCAGTCAGAGGCATTCAGCATTTGTAGAGAGAACGTGGTGCTGACAGGATGGACAAGAGTATTGACATCCGTGGGTGCTCAATGTGTGGATGTGAACTTGACAGAAACCATTTTAACCGGCCAGGGAGTGAAGAAACTACCTTCAGGTTATTCTGTGGCGGCAATGGTGAAGGCCAAGGGACTTGCTGGTCCTTTGTTGTCCTGGGCTCCTACAGGAAGCACCCCTTGCTCGTAGGTCTCAGGGCAGTCATTTGAGACAGGCAAAATTGATGGCTTCGACACGTTTCTTTTCTTGAAACAACGTTAATTTGTCCAGTTTTGTGGCTTTTTTATGTGGAACAGCATTAGATCATCCAAGCTTGTGGTTTGTTTGAAAACGAAATTCCGGTAAATCTTTCACACCATCTGGCAAGTGTGGTGATTGGCTGTAAGTTAGGAACAAGCCACTGAGCACACAAGAAAACAAAGTAACAAAACCCCACCAGGAACAGAGAGGTTCTTGTAATTTCTCTGCCCAGATAAACCCACAGGAGTCTTTGAGGATGGGTCTGTCCCCTTGAACAGAGCTGGAACCTGTCACTCTTGAGGTGGGAATCCATTTCTCTCAGTTCCTTGGGGCAAGTAGAATACCTCTGCTCAAGCTTCAGCAGGAGCCTTACATTCTTTCTATAGAACTAGATCACTGGGGACCCCCGAGGGCACACACAGGCTCTGGAAACCAACATGAATGACCAGGAGAGAAGATACAGATAAACACCAGTAGCTGACTCTTGCGAGTATAAAACACGTGACTGAGCCCGAGTGCCCCAGGGACATAGGAGATGCCACTCTTATTTAGCTGTCGGTCATATCCACAAGTTCTTCACTGGTATCTATAATATACACGGCAGATTTTCACCCCTGTGCCTACTGTGTGGATTGACTGTCCTAGGCACAGAAGAGAGAATGTGGGCCGGATAAACATGACCATTGTGTTTGAAGAGTTCATGTCCAGAATGACAGACAATTTCCAAGCTGTATCATTTAAGGTAATTTCGAACACAGGAGGCATCATGCAGGGATGAGGAAGCAGCTGTGAGGAGAATGAACGCGGGGATGAGGACCTTTGCTTGGTAGATTGCAAGGAGGCTCCAGGGCTGCTGACCCCTGATCAGAAACCTCATGGTGAGATGTACGAAGGATGGAGGAGCGGAGGGTGTCCTTGGAATGGGGAGTGGGGAAGACTTGAGGGGGCAGCCTGGGGGCGGCCTGAGGGGGGCAGCCTGAATGGGGACAGCCTGGGGGACACAGCCTGAGGGGGGCAGCCTGAGGGGGGCAGCCTGAGGGGGGCAGCCTGAGGGGGGCAGCCTGAGGGACACAGACTGGGGGACACAGCCTGAGGGGGGCAGCCTGAGGGACACAGACTGGGGGACACAGCCTGAGGGGGACAGCCTGAGGGGGCATCCTGAGGGGGACAGCCTGAGGGGGCATCTTGAGGGGGCAGCCTGGAGGTAGCCAACCTGAGCGGGCAGCCTGCTGAGACGGTTCCAGAACACTGTGGGATGAGGTAGGAAAGGGAGGCAGGGGCCACACCCTTGGGCTGTGAGACGCTCCCCCACTGTCACACAGGGAAAAGACATGGCCCAACTGACAGGTCACTGGGGAAAAGGGATTTCAGATCAGCGGTGGGGACAGAAGAGACAGAGGTGGCTTGAGAAGGAGTACAGGAGAAAGTGTCTTAGGTAAAGCGCTGACACAGTTGATGTGGCGGAATAAAGCAGCCGTGAAATAAGGATGCTCCCAGGTCCTCCAGTTTGAGGCACTGGAGCAGGTGGAGATTCCTTCCAGTTGATGAGTTGGGAGGCAGGAGAGGAATGCTGTTTGAGGCAAAGGTTTAAAAGCAAGTTTTCATTATGTGAAGTCTGAGATAATTTGATACATCTAAGTGGAAATAGAAAGTATATTTTCTAGAGTTCAGCAGAAAAAAATAAATAAAGGAGTGATTACCACGGCGCTGATCACTGGACCCAGGAGGAGCAGGGCTCTGATCTAGCAGAGGGAACCAGTAACTACCCTAAAGGAGGAATGTTAAGGGTCTCTCACACCCTGGAGACTGGGAAGAGTGGACATGAAGTGCCTAACCCACATATGTGTGGTGACCCCAGCCTACTTGTGCATGGCCTCCAGCCCCTATCACCCCTCCACAAGGTGTACCCCTTGACTACCACTCGTGAATGAGTCTGGACTAAGTCCCAGGCCTTGGAAACCAGACCCGAGCAGTTAGGACAGGAATCCCAGAGCCCCAGCGCTCTGGAACATAGTGTACAGGGGATAATTTATGGGTTGGTCAGGCGTGTCACTAAAGACTGTGGACTCTTCACTGCCTGGATGATGGTTAGAGCAGGTGATGCCAGAGCTGGAACTTTTAAAGCTTGAGCCACCAGACAAGGGCCTTTGGTACTAGACAAGGGTAGCATTGCACACGTGACATGCATTGGTGTGACAAAGGCTGTGACTCTACTGTGTGATGTGCAGGTCATAGGAAAGAACCCTGGGTCATTCATCCTGCTGTCCTGTGACTCACTCCTGCAGCGTCTACCTTGTGGGCAGCATCTAGTTCCACACTGACCTTGTCACGATGGGAGTGAGCAGCCTTGTTCAGTTTGCCTCAGCTCTTGTGGGAGAAGGAGGAAGTAAAAAGCAGGGTGTGGGAGAAAGGGAGAATCCATGACAGATGGGCTCACCCTCCTTCCTCTGCCGAGGTAGTCAGGCCAGAGGCATGGGAAGCTCTGGGCTACTCATGGGCATTTAACCTCAGAGGCGTTTGTACAGGTGCTGGGACAAGCCATCCCTCAGGCTGTGCTTACTCGGGACATTCCACACAGCAGGGGTGTGCAGAGACATGAAGGACAGCATGCTTTCTGTTTGTCTGTCTATTTGAGACTCAAGTCCATCCGTCCAGGTGCTGAGGACAAGGATCCATGTACTTTGACCCCAAGGGCTAGGAGTTAGCAAGAACTGGT